TATGCACTGCCTTTCTTGGTTATTCAGGAATAGTACCATATAAGAGGATTATGCAAATATTGCTTCCTAGAGATGCAATTAAACCTCAACAATGCCCTTATCCAAAAAGACAAATAAGCAAACTTTGATGATGGTTCCATGTTCGTATCAACTACGTCAATGCGAAATACCATGATTTAATTTAAACAACACTGACTGACATATTCAGGCAATGGCTAGCATATAAGAAGATTATACGAAAATGGGCCCCTTGAAGCAAGTAAATTTCGACATGCCTCATCAAGTATTACTAAACTTCAATTATGGACTTCCATGTTCTTATTGTCTCCACCTAAACCAGAAGCCTTTTAATGAATTTTAAGTAATACAAAAATAGCCTAGACCGTAAAGAATGTACCGACATATTTTAATGTCTGTCAAGGCCAATAATCCGTTGTGAATAAAAGAGGAAAATTTAATGGTGAAGAAGAAAAAGCAGATAGAGAACTAACCAGTATGGCGTTGGGCTTACCAATAGCCCATAGATTAACCTTGTGATCTTCACCACCAGTCACAAGAACCCTGGATGACTTCCTCCCGATCTTGAGACAGTTAACACTGGAAGAATGCGCCACAAATTCCTCTTTTGTTTCCAAATTAGTGACACTAGTCAAGGCTAACTCACTCTGCTCAGCCATTGTTCTTCAGTCAACACAACTTAGAAACCTTTCAATTCAAATAAAATGCAAATTGAAGAAGAGATCTAAGGAAGAAAATGCAGCATATTAAGCACTGCACAAGCATTCGTTAGATGAAATAAAACCCTAAAATAAACATTCCAGCGAACTAAGAAGAAGAAGAACAGGAGCAAAGGATACGCAGCTTATAGGCACGTTTGGTAGTCATGGCGGAAACGGAAAAGCAGGCAAAACCCTAACAAAAGTAAAAACAGCAGTAGACATTCAAATCAAAACCGAGGCTCTGGTGACGATGGCGGCCCAGATCCCGCCCTCCACGACTTCACTGAATTCGCATTGCAAAAAATCGTAATCTAAAACCGGAAATGGCTGCAAAAATAACCTCCAACCAACAGATCAGAAAAAAAAAATTAAAAAAATTACATATCTAAAATCGAACGACAGAGAGAGACAAACAGAGAAGAGTTACGCACCGATCAGAACTTTCTTCTCTTCTCCTTGTCTCAAAAAAAAAAAAAAAAAAAGCCCGTCTTTCCCACTTCCTTCCTCCCTCCCTCCCCCTTCTCCACACAGACTCCAAAATTTACCGCTTCACGCTCAAAAAATTCAAATTTTTTGTGTTTTAAACTGGTTGACTGAAATACCTAGCGAATATAACAGTAGTTGTTGTTGCAGAGTAGAGTATAAGCATCAAATCAAAGAAAATAAAACATAAAGGTTAGATTTTTTGAAGAAGGAAGCAATGGGTTTGGTTTGGTTTGGTTACTTGCTTGCAATATCACATTCCTCAGTCTCTCTCTCTCTCTTTCCACCAGCAAGAAAATACCCAGTAGATTTTGCTGCTAAAAGATTTGATAGTAAAGTACTGTTATGGATAAATAGACAAGTAAAAAGAAAATGGATTTTCAGGAAGAGACGGCGAGGGACAAGAAGGGGCTTCCTCCAGTTGCTTCTGCCGCCTCCAATTCTATTCTTTCTACCTTAAAAATCATAACTTTTCGCATTCATCCCTCACGAATTTTTTAAATAAATTGATTACTTACAGAATGAAGAGTTTATTTTTTAAAAAAAAAAATTAAAAAGAAAAAACCAAAGTACATGTGATTTTTTTTTTTTTAATACAATTATTCTCTTTTTATTTTAAAATTTTGGTGGGTTTTCTTCTTCTTCTTTTTTTTTTTTTAATTTTCAAATTTAATTTGTGTCGTAAATTGCGAGTTTTATATATATATATATATATATATGTCAAGGTTTATCCTGGATACAATGAAATTTAAATTAATATGTTTGAAATTGTAATTTAACCCAAATAAAATAAATCAATACTTATATAATATAAAACAAACTCATAAATATAAATTTTACAAAATTAAATTTGATATTTGCTTAAATTATAACGGTATAAATAACCATAAAATAATTATTTTAAAATAATTAAAAACTAAATCTCAATCATATTATTATAAGTATACAAATACAATTACTTAAACATTACAAGGAATATCTTGTTTATCATATCATTAAAATAATAATAATAATTATATCATAAATTAAATATAAATTTGAAAACAACGGACGGTCTTCTTATGGGGGCCGGGAGGAAGACGATTAATCTTTCTTTCCCCCCACCCCTCCCTCCTCTTCCAACTCAAAATTGAAATGAATGATATTGATTTTGACTACCCCCTTACCTTTCTAATTTTTATTCTTCACTTTTCTTTTCTTTTTTCTTTTTATTTTTTTTTATTTTATTTTAAATAAAAATTCTTTTTTGGGTTTCTTAAATTAAAAGTATTGTTTGGATTTAATTAAGGTTTATAATATAATATCTTTTTACAAATCAAATGGAAAAATTAGAATTGTAATAAGTTCGTTATATATATAATTTTGTTTTGTGAAATTAAATTTTAAATTATTTTTTATATAATGTGTTGTATAAAATTATTGTCTTCTTGAAAAGTAGCGGTGATTTATAAATATTAACTAGTTTATTTTTTCTACTTGTGAAAAAAATTCTTTTTAAGGAGATTAATAAAAATATTTGTACTTTCTTTCCAATCAAATACATATTTTATAGGAGCAAACAATAATTTTTACATTTTGTACGAATATGTAAGTAGTGCATACATACATACAAACAAAAAAATTATAGTCTCTCACTTTCCACTTTTCCCCTAATATAATTTACCCTCTTTTGTTTAAAATTTAACTACTTTCATATTTTTTATTACAAAAAGTCAATTTTCTTCAATAAATTATATTTATCTTATTACATTGTATTATGTTTATATTTATCTTTATATACATTTTTCAGTTTGAGGAATGGTTAGATTTTATTATTAATCATGAGATAAATAAATTATATAAATATACATTCAATTTGAATAAGTTGGACAATCAATTTTATTTTTAAGTTTTTTTACTCAAATAATCAATATAAGACTTTTTCAGTTTTAAATAGTGCTCGACTGCTATTTCAATCATATATTAATCACAAACATATGTAATTTTATAATCAAAAAACACCTCATGATCATCTTAGCTTCTCTTACAAAATGTAAAAAATTATAAAAATAATCACAATCAACTCTCTTGAAGAGTACGTGTATATATAAATGAAAAATAAAACATTTTCAAACTTTATTACAAAGACAATGTTAGATATCTCTTAAAAAATAAGTGAAAAAAAGTTATCTTTATCATATATTTAAGAAAGTTATTAAAAATTTTGAAAAAACAAATGTTTGCAACGATGTTTTTGAAAAATTATTTGTCACTAGATTTGTATCACCAAATTTGTGTAGAACGATATACTTACATATTAAATTCATTTAAAAAAAAAACAGGTAACTCGCTATCTATTTTAACAAATTCAAGTTAAAAATGTCAATTAAATAAACTTATTTATTGTTCTTCATTTTAAAATCATTTATTATTACAAACATTTTCAAATGTTTTTTGAAAATTTATGTTTCTAAACAAGTTTTTAAGCGAATAAATGAAATACCAAATTTTCTAATAAAATGTATCACAATGAAATCATATTCTTCAATTTTTCTTTTCTTTAAACTTGTATAATTTTTTTTTTTTTGGCATAACTCGTGGGTTTGAGCTTATGTTACACAGATAAATTATTTCACACCTACACAAGCTTAGCAAATGAAATTATTGCAGTACATTAAAGTTTTGTCATTCATTGTAATTAACCCATTAGATTCATTAATCTTACCCTTTTTTTTAACAAATTTTAATATTTTACACACAAAAAAATAATAATAATCATATCTAAGTGGATAGCTTTTCCTGAAAATGTTTAAAATTTCTTACGTACATTTGAATTTTGTAAAAATTTTATTGTCTTGTCTTAAAGTTTACAGTTTCTAAAAATATTACAAATTGAAAGTAACAATTGGCCTAGAAGAAATTGGGAAATGGAGGAAAGAAATGTGATTCCCGTAATTGTAAAGCATATATATCACAAAACCAAATTATACAGCCAGTTGTCACCACATTTCATTACACATGTAAACAAATACGAAAATACTTGCAGTCTGTAACTCCACCGAATATGTGTGTAGTTTAATAATATTCAAAGTTAAGAAGAGAATGTGAAGACTGGTTCACTTAGGATTCTGACTATAAGATAAAATATTGTAATAAAATAAAATCCAGATCCATATGATTCAGGTGACCCACAAGACAAACTCTCCCACTGCATTTGCCTAAGAAGATATTGTAATAAATAAATAAACATATATATATATATATATATATATATATAAAAGTAGTTGAGAATCACTTCCCGGATTCTTAAAAGACAGTAATTGAGCTTCAGAATATGAACACCATGTAATTAAAAAAAAAAAACACTCAACATGAGTGATCTGCAAGTAAGGAATTATGGTGATCTCTCAAATTCATAACAGAACTCCACTAACATTTATGTACTTTAATATCTCAAATTCACAATATAATGCATCTCAATTTTACAAAATCAACCGTCAGACATCAGCAGTAGAAATCTCAATGCAGAACTGACGAATGACATGCTCCTCTTCAACATTCAAGATATCAACTTACATGATAAAAACTGCTCTAAAGCTTCGCAAGTCAAGTTGACAGTTTAAATGGCTAGAATACTGAAATAAGTAGTTGCAGATATATCTTAAGGTATGAGATTTAGCTTGGAAAGGTATTTCTGACCGGAAAAACTATCAGGACTCATTCGCCTTGCAATCTTCTGGATAGTGTGGAAAGAAAGAAATATGAGAATATTTGATGAAGCGGAAGAGGGCATTGATAAACTTAGATAGAGGCGGTTCCAGACCTTAAGTTTTTTTTTATTATGGGTCAATTTTTGTACTCCATAGAAGATTTAGATAAACTGATTGATATTAATTTTGTACATGGGTTTGCACCCTTTTAATGCTTGTATTTAATGATACTTATTTTATATTTTAAAAAAAATAGTTGCAGATATACATCATCAGAACTATTCAGTAATGACACTATTTTCTACGTAATTCTCAAATAAGAATGTCAAACCAAAAGATTAAGAGAAAAAATGATTCAATTTTGATTCACAAGCAAGCAAAAAAAATATGAGCACAACTTGGATGAAAGAGATCAGCTCACCAGAAGAGCTTTAGTTTAAGAATTCATATTTTTTCCAAGCATACTTTTATAGATAATATTGCACAGATACTCAAATCAATGTGAATTACCCCAGTTAAGAATTTTATAATAACTGAATATATGAAGAACACAAAACACCAGAGTGGACCAAATATAACAAAGTCAGTATAACTCCGCAGTGTTTTATTCTTTCCTGTTCCTTACTAAGATCAACACCAAGGCAGGAAATTCAATCCCACTAACAATTGTAGCTTATCGGAGAAATGACACTAGAAAGATAATGTGTCGTTGTATGGGTGGTTTGACTTAAAGCTTGCACAAGATAATACGAGCAAGCACACCAAAGGACTATTAGATACGAAACATAAAAATTCATTGTTGCGAGTCCAAGCTCTTAGATAATAAACGTAATTTTTAATGAAAATAATAAGCATGACAAAACTAGAAAGCTCACGTAACATAGAGTTGAAGATAAAGCAGCTTTATGAGCATTATATGTGTAATATCTTTTTCTCTGGTGAAGCTTTGTATGTGTATATATATATAATTTGATTATCAAATAATTCCATAAATTAATCTTCACAATGAACGGTGCCACACAAAAGGAAGTCAGAAAAAAGAATAATCACTTCGCAAAGTTCGAATCTGTTTGTCCTTGCAATAATATAAATTAACTAGTGCACGGAATTTTTACTTTCAAGAAGAAAAACATTTGTAGTGGGCCCATCAAATTGGAAAATAGAAGTGGGAAATTAAATGATACCATTTAAATTATTAAAAAAAATATATATTTTATTAGAACTGTTCATATCTAATTCTTGTTCTGGAACTGTAACACATTCCATATAATCATCTGCTTCTCACTTTTCTGAGGACTACCTAAAAAAAGGCATTGAGGGACTTGGATTGTGTATCTCTTGATATGTAATAAGCATATAATAGATGGGAAGGAAGCAACACTTCGATATAGAAGTGGACAAGACAATGAGAAAGAAAAAGAAACCCTAATAAACAAAAATTTGAAAACAGAAGTAGTAAGGGTTACCTTACCAAGCAATGATGGTAAATCATATACCTAAAAATCACATTCAAGTACTTTTAACTTCATACGTGCTTAAGAATTCTTCTCAGTCCATAAACTAAGTTACAATGTTTCTTCCAGATAAATAATGTTATAATCTTATACAAAACAAATTATGTTAGAATGAAGTGATTCTAAATATATTCACCTTAATCAGCATTCTCTAATATCATAAACCCACTGCATTAGAGGACTGATTTTTCCAGTTAGCAAAGTAGTCCCTGTGTAGTATCGGAAGTCTAAATCCTCAAATGCCTTCTGTCTTTAAAGTTGGGCCACATTTTTTAGTAGGGTTTCGATCACTTGTTAACATCATCATTATCATATGTCACTAACTGATGAAAGAATGTGGGACAACTCCTAAAAGATAAGTTTTCAGGACAATAATATCTTTAAGTTTTCATTATAACAGTAGTTGCCTATTTGAATTGGTTCTTATAGCTAGGACTTTCTTTACACATTCAATTGAGGTAAGATTTGTTTGAAGCTGCTACCTTAGTTTGTTGGTCTTAATAGGTGTAGGATTATAAGAAATCTTTATACATCATCATAACCCTTTTTTTTTTTTTTTGTTTTGAGAGAGGCAAAAATACTCATTAGGGGCACTGAAGGATTTAAAATTCTCCCAAAGTTACCAGTTCAATCAGGTCTACAACATCAATCAGATCTTGGATGGGGTGACCTTTAAACAAAACACAGAGAGTTCTCAACCAGTGATCCCTTAATAGACACAAAAGGGAAGGAAGAGTTCTCAAACTTTCCTACTTCTCTCCTTTTTTCTTTGAAATATAAAAAATATAATATTAAATGCATTAAGAGAATGTAACCCATATGCAAAAGTATTTGCCCTACTTCTTTCATTACGATCTAGAAGGTAAAGATGAGGATAAGGGAGATAAAAATTTATCTTGACTCATCCACAAGAATATATATATATATATATATATATTGTTCAAAAGAGTTGTGACTCGGTTGAAGCACATTAAGGTAAAATACACTCTATATAAACATTTTCGGCTAGGGATTCCATGACAAAATATAGGGAACTAACAGAATCAATCCCCAAAACCACAGCTCAAGGAGAGCCCAAGTAGGAAAAAGTGAAGTTGGGGTTGAGGGTTACTACAGAGAAGAATTACCCGCTATCAGGAAAGAGCTCCTCTAAGAATGCCCTGAATAGCAAGACTGTCCTAGTCAGCCAGTAGCACACTTTACAATGAACTAGCAATTTTTAGCACATCATAGTGAGCATTGATCATGTCAAATTAAATTTTTCGTTATTGCCACTTCAATGCAACTCAAGCTACAAATTAACTACCTTTCCAATCCCTATGTATGTATGGGAGAAGGCATACCAAGTCTCTCATAGCAATTCACTTGTCCAAATTTTTTTTTTTTTTTTTAAGAAAAAGTTAAGTATAAATTACTTGTCCAATTTACCTAACCAAAAATCAAAGAATACAAAAGGTATACTATTCTAATTGGCTCCCTATCGCACTACCACATAGTTAGGTTCGAATACTAAAACAATTCTTTTTTGGCTCTTGGCCAAATAGTTCTAGTTCATGCATTTAACAACCTATACTCACCCAAGCATACCAGGCAAACGGGCACCATTCTAACCGGAGCTCAAGTGTCATTTATTTTGGATTCTCTACACTGTTTGTACTTAACTTCAGTTGTAGAAACAAACATTAGTTCCATATAAAATTGAAATAAAATAAAATAAAATATTCTTCTAAATAAACAAAAGCATTAATTTTAACTAAAGGCATGCATAAATCATGCTACAGTAGAAAAAATAAATTTATTAATCTGCAAGCAGTAGAAAAGCGCATAAATTCAGCCAAATAAATGGTACCTACATAAAGTGGCTGGACTTCTTCCCCCGCGCCCAATGCAAAAGAATAATAATAATAATAAAATAAACAAGCTACACTTGAAATTCTAAAATTGACATGAGTTAAGGAAGAATCAGAATTCTATCTTAAGTGAGGTTGGGCTTGATGAGCAAGTTTTGCACAGTGCTGGTAGGAAGAGTGCAGCAGAGTCTGTCCAGCACAGAGTGTAAGACAAGACTAATCCCTACAGACAATCCACCAGAATAATAGGCAAGTAATGCTTAGTTTCCCACAGACCTTCCACATTACTGGCGCCTTGTAATTTAAAAGCAGGGCATTTCTCTCCAAAAATAGTTCACGCCTCAAAACTCTGCAATGCCAAATAAGTATAACCATCTAAATGGTAAGAAAAAATCTCCTTAAAGAGAGCAGATTTGGTATCTAGTCTTTAAGATTTCTGAGACCACGTATTTAATGTTGAACTTCAGACAGATTCCGAATTAAACATGTTGCATAAGAAGTTACTTCCGTTGTAATATCACCAACTTAATGGCAAGTAATACAAATATCTTGTAAATGATGATACTACAAGCCTAATTTATCTCTGTGTATTACAAAGTTCTGATCATATTTATCATTGATGACATCAATGTTCACATGACCAAGAAAACTAAGGTAAATATCTCAAATAAGTGATTACTCCAATTATATCCTTTCTTGCCAGTACCCAATCTCGAAACGCTTATTTCCTATACCAAATATATCCAAACAAGAGTTATCACTATATTCTAACCCAAAGAAAAAACAAAGATATGTCCTTTCTATGTGCATCTGAACAACTTCTCATTAAGCATACTCTCAATGGTTATAACCTGTCAGCATATGTCCGTCATAAATCTTGAACCCTTTCACTTAAGTAAAAAAAGAGGAAAAAAAAAGAAGGGGATTGACATAAAAATCATACATGAAAAGATTAGACCTAGACAGCTGCTCTGTAAAGAATTATCAACTTTTTAAATGTCAGAAGTAAAAATGCTCACCAGAAGCACAATCCAGGGGGCTCCTAGATTGTTGGAAGGTTGAGGGATGATATTTTGAAGAGCAATTAGAGAGGCTGTTATGGGGGAAGCTAAGCTTTCAAGAAGCTGAAAGCATAAAATCTAGTACATCTCACTAGACAGGCGTGGACTGGGGATTTTGTTCAGAATCCAGTCACTTTTTTTTTTCTTTTGAACTTTCACCTACCTGGAAGTTTTTCTTTTTAATATATGAAAGTGTCATAAGGAACGCAGAGGAAGCAAAACTCAGAGACAAAGAGAATACATGCTTATGGTTTTTATTGGAATCGCACAAGTCAAGCATATATGAATAAACAATTAACAGTGGTGGAGAAAAATGTTCTTGCAATCATGTACTGGTTTTTCCTGTATAAATACTCCAATGAAAAACTCTAGGGAACTGCCTAAACAATTCGTATGATATAATTAGAATACAAAATTTTTAGCAACTAGTAGAAAAATAGTAACTATGCGATTCCATAATATATGAGAGTAAAGACTTCTATAAGCATATACATTATGCTTCAACTGCATCCAGATCGCAGCTTCTCGAAACCTTATATTTTGATGAAGCAATTAACCACATGATTAATTGGTGAAAGTAGAAGAAAAGCAACACTATACGATAAACCAGGTCAAGTTAAAAGTACATAAACCCTGGACCATCATGCTAACAACAATTATTTGGTTGAGAGGAAGGGAAGGGGGAAGAATTTGCCTGCTTGTTCAAGAGAACGAGCGCAAGAGAAAGAAAGTGGAGAAGTCGTCTAATCGGTGTATTCGAACTCATCCTCCCTGAGATGCGCCAAGAACTTGACAGAACCGCGGCCCTCGACGTCCATGAAGAACTCAACCTTGAAAGGTAAATTAGCAGAGATGCGCTTGCCCTTCCAAAGAGCCACGTAGTCCTTGATTACTCCTTCCATGCCGTTGAGATCGACCTCCGGCACGCGGCTCACATGATAAACTTTGAGAGGCACCTTCACCCTAACTCTAGCCCCTATCCTGGCCTCGCTCCCTGGCAACTCCTTCTCCGCCTCTCCTCCTCCAATCGTGGCCGTGGACGAGGAAGGATCACTCTCAAGGGAAGTCGACGAAGATGCCGTAGATTTCAAAGCTACCTGACATCGTACCATCCTCGTGCTGCTGGTGCTGTTGCGGGAAAGCGAAAGAGAAACAGAAGGTGAGGATCGGAGCATCGTGACAGTAGGGGAAGTGGAGGAGATGTCTAAGAAGATCGATTTAACATTTGAGTGGTGTGTAATGATCGTTGCCGATGATAAAGCGAAAGCCTTACTCATCTCCGTCCTTCCTCTACGTCTGTATAGTAGTAGTATATGTATATGTTGGTGCTTTGAAAGTAAATGAAGTTTTTGGTATGGTTGATTTGGATTTGTTGCGTCCACTGAGAGAAGTCAAGCAGAAGATCAATTGATCCGGAACTCTATTTATTGAGCGATCCAGTAAGAGGGGAAATGAAGTTTGATGAGAGGATAAGGAGGAGGAGAGATGAAAGGGACAGAGTTTGGTTGGTTGTATATGGGGGGAAGAAAAGGCGGAAGTAGCCACAGAAAAAGCCGTGGGCTTACGGAGGATGAGGATGGAGGAATGAGAGGCGAGAGATGAAACCTGTCTGCATCGTCTGATTCCAATAGTTATGGATGGCAATTAACTAATTAGATTTTTATGTTTTATTTTTTAATAATTGTTTTTTCAATTAATAAGACAGCAGATGAATGAGTTTCCCTCGTCATACATAATATTACTCTTGTTTTTTTTTTTATTTTTTTTTTTTATGATGTGTTGTTATTATTATTATTATTATTATTATTTTTTAAAGACCCAAAATGAAAATCCGAGATATTTTCTATTTCTTTTTACAGGAAATTCAAATTTGATTTATTTCCCAAATTAGTCATTTTCATTAAAAATCATGACCAAATCAAATTTTACTTTTAGCAATATTAACATAAGCGAACTAAGAATTAAATTTCAAAAATAAATTCTAGATTTCTAATATATGTATCATTATATAATACATAAAGATTTGTATTATGTATTCTATTTAATTACTTCTAGAATGTAATGTATATTATGCGATAAGTATTTTATTTACTAATTAATCATATAATATCACTTTCAATTGACTGTAATTTTTTTTTAACTTGCAAATTAAAATTAATCTTACAAAAAAATAAATATTAATAATAATTTCCATACCATTCAACTTGGCAACTCTCGAATTTTTTTTTGGTTTTTGGACGGTCCTACTTGTATAATATTCAAAGTCAGTGAACCCCTAATAATAAGAATTATTATCAACCAACATTGTACAGACACAAATATTCATCCATTAACAATTAGTCTCAACCAAATATTTAGTATTATTTTTATTGTTCTTATTGAGTTCCAGTTTACATCTATTATAACTCACCTGCCAATTCTAGTTACTAAGAGCAGACGATGCCAAAATATCTCCGAGCCGCCATAGCATCTCCTCAGCAAGTAAAACAAAGCTGTAGTGCTTTACAACACAAAAATATTTGAACATATTCGCAGATTATTAAAAAAAAAAAAAAAAAAAAGAATCTGAATACATTGGGCAGCTGCTGCTGTGACCCAACACAAGAAACTCATACAAGAGAAAAAGGAAAGGAAGGAACAGCAAGCAACAGATTCGCATAACTCTGGGTGAAAAATTTACAGAGGATCTCAGATGTATATGGCACAAAAGGGGATGGAGTAATGTTTCAACAAAATATATATAGATAAAAGACAAAAGCTAGTCTTCTCTCTGTATAAGGACGCTTCACCATTTTTCACATGTGAAATCAGCATAACAAAAGACTTCAAAAGCAGGGGTCTTTCCCATGTTATACGCGACGACCAGGGCCACGCCCAATAAGTCTGCACTGTTCTGGAAGCAGAGATGAAATGACTTGACCACTAAGTGGGAAAAGTTCCCCATCAATCCCACAACCATTATGGGTCTGTTTTCCGGCTTTTATCTTCACTGATTTTACCTGCATTTGCATAGAGGCTTAAATTAGATGGGGCTCTGGTGTTTCAATTTGGAGTGACACATGCTAAATTACAAGATATTTGTATCTTATCTTTTGAGCTCCCTATCTTTTATAAAGAAATTCCTGAGTTGCAACATAAACAGTATAGCTAAGAATCACTAGAGTACCACATTCAAACACCCATGTTCATGTCACAATTCAACCTATGTTGTCCTGTAGCTCAAACAGAAAAGAATTGCTAGATTAAAAGTCCATACCTTAACATACTCAACATATGGAAGTGAAAGATGCCGACCCATCTGCAGAAGCAAGAAGAATCTCATCAATCTCAGTCGCCCACTTCCACGAACCAATAGCAAATCCATGGTGTTGTCATCATGCTCAGCCATTGGCGCCACAACTTGGGAACTCTGTACAGTCCTGCAAGCATGGTTGCATACTAGGATACCAAGAAATTGCCCCTTTGTAACAACCCATTGATCTTCAAATTTAGGGACAGCTTCCTTCTTCATTCCTGCTTCTGCATTATCTGAAGGTCCAGGCAACTCAATTGGGTTTTCTACATCCCAGTTAGGCTCAGTATCCCACTTTGGTTCAGCATCCCAAATTGGACCAGGATCAGATAATGTTGAGGAAATATCCTCTCTATCATTTGTTGCAGCATTTCCCCAAGAACATCTTGAGGGATCATGCGTTGCAGTTAATCCTGCCCATCCTCTATCGGTCCTTGACTTTGATCTTGTCCTTGGCCAGTTGGGGGTTGTTGACATTGGTAACTGCGGATGAATAACTTCTGGCTCTGCTGTAACATTGCTCCTGCCAGATGATAGACGTTTTGATTTTGGATCAAGGCCACGAACGTATTCAGATGGTTCGGTGCTGGCATGATTACTACTACATGTATCCATGTCACCTCCAGACATTCGACTAGGGGTCATTATTGAGTCAATACTTGATAAACTAGAGGCTCTGGGCATGCCATCTGTGTTTGATCTCCTCATAATATCTGTATACAGGTCTGACATGTCAACTATCTCCCTTTCAGCTGCATTTTTGCCTTCTCGATCTTCCTTTAATGCTGGAAGATATTCCACTTCATAGTTGTACTTCGGCAAACACAAGAACTTGAGGAACCCAGCAACAAAATATCGTAAAGGACCAAAACGTTTTTGATATTTCTCGGAGAGCTCCAGCACTGCAACATGATGCCACAGATAAAAAACACATGAAACGCAGAGCATGGCAAACCATAAAAAACAATCAATGCAATCATATAAACAACTGCAAGTAATATTGCATTCAACTGGCAATTCATACTGGAAATCATATCCGCCCTAATAATTTATAAATGAAGTCAATAAAGACCAAAATGCCATCTAAAGAAATAAATAATATACCAAAATGCACACATCACTTCTGAGTAAAATATACAAGAAGCTCAATCTGAAGATCTAATACATCTTTATAGACCCATGCTTTGAACTAGTGATGCCACTTGTCCAAAAATCATAATATAGATAATCAGCATTTATTGGTGACTACCAAGTGTTAAGACAAACTGTTCAGGCAAGAAGAATAGTAAAATTTCTTTTTGGAGAGAAAAAAGAGAAGAATAGTGCAATTTTAATCCAGTGTATCAGCAAGTAACAAGCCAGACAAATTTTTTGATATCTTACAAGGCGAATGTGTTATGCATGACAAGCCTTCATGAGTATGGAGCATGATCCAAAACAAAGTTTCTCCAGACTATATCATCCAACAAGCATCACTCAGCAATGAAATAGGACCATAAAAAACATGCCAAGATTACATATTGATAAGCTTTAAACCCAATGCCTTCCTGTTGGGAATATAGACAATATGCCATATTAACAAAGCAGAAAGGAAATCAGGATCTAGAAAATTACCAACTGAATACTTTTACTTACCATCACCAACAAAACCATAGTAGGAGACTGTCATCCCAAAGTGGATGACACCTGTCTGGATCCACTCAACAGCAAAAACATCAGTAGCTGTGAGACCCCCCTAAAAACAACAAAGCTATCTGAATGGTAAGCAAAAAGATGACCCAGAATGTAGTAGAGTTTCACAGTCTAATAGTACCAAAAAGAACATAATTAATACACCCACTATTCTTAATATAGGAAACTAAAAAACTTGGTATACAACTTAGAACTCAAAAACTCATCTACTGATGGAGCTATTTAAACCAACCCCCCATCAAACCACATCTGCACACACAACTCCTCCAAAAACTAAATCTGAAACTTTAACAATTGAAGATTTTAAGTTGTTGATTCTTCACATTTTTTGTACATTAGGCAGATTAGAAACAATACAGTAATAATGTGTCTACAAGGATAAATAAGAATAATCACAAAAAAGTTAAATAAATAATGTATTCCATAACACCATCTCAGTTTAGCCCATTAGTCATTAGAAGCTCCACTCCTGAAGCACAGAGCATGGGTTCAAGTCTCAAGGGAAGCCACTTAATGCCAAAAAATAAAAAATTGATCGGTAGAACCATATCTAGAAAACAACTCTCAGGTTCCTACTTAATAGGAACTATAGATATGAGCTTCACCCAAATGGTCTTCGTTTATGTGATTATCAGGACTATGAGAATTACTAGACGAAACAGTGGCAACATAAATGAGGAAATCAATTCTGTTTCATCTATATAACGATACGAACGGTAGAATATATTTCACCTTCAGGGACTAGAAGTGCTAGCTGTTTTGTGATTTGTGACTAAAAAAAGAAAAAAAGAAAGATAAATTTTATCTCATGGCTGCAAAAATAGATATGTTCATTCCCCAAAAAAGAAAGCAAGCAATTCACTCCTTGATTATCAACAAAAATGGGGATTGTAAAAATATAAAGGACTGTGGTCAAATTTACTAAAACATCAATCATATTGAATAATATGCGCCCTTCAGCAAAAATATCCCAGTGATTGTAACACCGTAACCATCAAGTACAAGAAGCATGCTATATCAGTCCTAACAAAAGCTGGTACCTTAACTATAGCTATTGCAGCAGAAACTGGATCCCTAACTCCCAGCACAGTCCAAACTAGTGAATTATCAGAACCAGCAGGGATAATTCCAATTGGTATAGAAATTCCTTCTTTCTGGTTGTCTCTAGAAAGTAAGCCATTTAGAACCTGCATAAAAAATCATTACAACAAGGACAGATCCACGGACAAGTTTCAAATAATTCACAAAGTTTTGAAAAATAATATTAAGAAAAAACAATAAGCAGGTAGATTAGTTAGGCCGATTAGATCTAGAAATATCTGCCCATAATACAACTAGGAATATGAAAAAATACATATTAAATGTCAAAGTCTCCTCCAAGGAACCATGTTTAGTTAAGTCAAGCTGAAAGTCCCTAACTCTGGTGAAATTAATGAAGCCTCCACCCTACATGCAATTAAGGATTGTTGATTGCAAGATGTTATCAGGTCCAAAAATAAGAATTTCTATCATGACTACAAACCAGCTGTCTTTGGAACTACAAGTGTTAGAATTCTTCTAAAAAGAAAAGGCAAATATACATTAAAAATTCAATAAGCTACATTGCACGTTTATACTACCTTTCATCATTGACAGGCTGATAAAACAAGCACATAAAGCAAAGAGACACAAAGAGTTGAAGAAAAATGAGAGGGATGACAATCTTGTAAGTGTAGTGAGGCATGAATAGATAAGATATAAACTGAGATAAAAAGCTCATATAAAATGTATAGTAGCACTGGTATCACTGTGGTTTAGTTTGTCCATATTGCAAAACCAACCAGAAGAAGCAAAGAAGGTAGCCCGAATCAGCCAGAAGTTGTTCTCGCCTAAGTGAGTTAGGCACAAGGTTCTACTGATTTCAAGAATGTATATGTGAACTCAGGCCATAAATTTCCTTTTCAAAAAGAGTGTTATAGATAAGACCAAGAAGCTGGCACCTAAGTTGCTCAGACTCCAGTACAGGTGTCGGGTACAGGTATCGATCTAAGTATCGGACTTGGCAATTTTTTCAAAATTAAAAATACACTTGGTCAGTAAGAGTCCAAAAATTGTCTACAAGCACTTGGACTCATCACGAAAGAGAAAATTTAACACAGTTCTATAACATGTTTCATGCATAATAATATAAGCCTTTAAA